ATATATATATATATATATATATATATATATATATATTTGTTATCATCAAAATAGTAACAATACTTACTATGCAAAATGAAAAATATATAAATTACAATAAAAGTATATGAAAACTGCTATGGTACCCATGATAACTAAAGGATTTTGGTACCTCAAATTATGTGAACAAATATATTTAAAAAAATAAATTTAAAATAACATAAATTTTAGATTAAAAATGTAGAAGATGAATCAATCAAAAAGACTAATTCAAAAAAAATAATCAAAAGATCAATTTTCATAACAAATTTTATTTATATGTGACAAAATTAAAAATTAAAAACAAAAAGTATGATAATACTATAAAAAAATATTAAAATAAGAAAGAAAATAATAAATAATACAACTGAAAAACTAATTTATACTATAAATTCAAAAAATTAACACCAAAGAAAAACTAAAACGTATTAACAAAATATTAATATTAATCTATTTAATTATAATAGATGCTACATTAAGATAAAATATAAAATAATATAAAAATATAAAAATAAATTATAAAAATAAATTATTAAAAATACTAAATTAAAATAAAAATAAAACAAATAATTACAATAAAAAAAATTAGACTATTGTTCCGGTACCCCACAGTGGGTCCCGTAGAATTTTCCTAAAAGTATTAGGAGGAAAGGAGGCATCATGTTAAATACTCCCTCCGTTTTTTTATTGTCTTTAAGGTTATGCACAAGAATTAAGACAATAATTGATATTCTAATTTTTTTAAGTATTTATTACATATTTTCTTATTATACCTTCTAGGTGGTTGGAGAAGAAATAGGTACATTAGAAAATGAATAGACACATTGTTCAGTAAACATGCAATAATTATCAAGGGTAAAAATGAAAAAAAAAAAATTAATAAGTCATTGATTTTAAAAAAGTAACAATGAAAAAAAATAACAAAATATGACAAAACGACTATAAAAAAAACAAAGGAAGTAATAATGGTGACTTGGTAGTGCAATTGGAAGGGTGCGTGGGGAGAGTACATTCAGAGAGAGAAAAAATTAAATAAAATTAAAATAGAGAAAGAAAGAAAGAAAAATTTTGGTGTACAATAATCAACTCTTATATATTAAATATAAATTACTATCTTGTGTGAGTGTTGTAATATAAATTATTTATCTTAAATTTAAAATATAATTTATATATTTATAAATATTTATTTATATAAAATTTAAATGTAATTTATATATTTAAATATAATATTATATGAAATCATTTCACTAAATAGATATTTCTAGAAAAAGTGTTCTTATTCTTCTAAAGAAAATCTATTAAAATCAATAAATGAATATTTCATTATTTGTATGTGTATTTAACACATAATCTTCTTCATAAATTTTAACTATAATAATTCATTAGTAAATCAATAACCCAATGAGTTAGTATCCTAATCTCAGTCTATGACCGGCGTATCTAAGGCTGACGCTGAAATTTTATGACTTTTAGATAAAATGATAAATATGAGTCTTATATATTTTTGATAATCAAATTATTGATACAAAATATTTATATATTTTATTGATATCTAATCTCTGCTAAATAATTTGATTAAAATTAAAGAATTAGTAAATTCAAACTTGAAAAATTTTATAGAGACTAAAATTATTTTACTCTTTTATGAATATAATACTTAAAACTAAAATAAAAAGGAATTTATAATCATATTACAATTCTATATTTAGATATAAAAAATAAATACATAAGTAATAATTTTATTACTTAAATATACTTTTAGTCTTTATAAAACAATAGAGTTTTGATTTTGGTTTCTATAAAAAAATTTTTTTGTTTTTCATCCTAAAAATTTAAAATTTATTTTTATTCTCTACTATTATATGATCATTTTTAATTATTTATAGCATTATAAGGTTAAGTGATTATCTAAGATAATATTATAATTATTTGTACAATCATGTTAATGTGTCACTTCCTTAAAAAAAATATAGATCCTTAAAATAGATATTATTTATCTATTTTAAAATATCATTAGAGATTTAAAAAAATTATATTTTGAAAAGATGGAAACTAAAAAAAAATAATTTATAGGGATCAAAATTAAAATTTATTAATTTTATAGGGACAAAATAATATTTACAAATTTTAAAATGATAAAAAAATAGAAGAAAAAAATTATAACACATTCATTTTATAGAAACTGAACACATATTTAAGTCTAATTTTAATTTTAAAAGTAATATAAAAAATTATCTCACAATTATGTATTTTTTTTTAAAATTAGGCATCTCGTAATTGTAGACCTAGGGTAGTACACCTCTAAATAATGCCTAAAACTGATCCTAAGTATAATGTAATTTGGGTTGGTATACAATGTAGGTGCATGTTATAACAATATAAATCAGTATTTTAATACAAATAAAGAACCATGCACAAATTCATATCAGAGTTGGAGGCATTGTCAAATGCCAAATGGTAAGACAAGCAGTAAGTAAGCCAACAAACATCTTAGACGTTGACTATTCAGGTAGATGCTAAGAATTAAACGCATGTTCTAATAATAGTAACTAATAACATTGAAGAAGAAAATAGCTTTTGGATCCTTCAAACGAAAAGGGTTTTGATTTGACCCAAAGGACAAGTATATATAAAGATAGATGTATACTCTATAATAAACAACAAACACTTTTTATATCAGTTTATGATTCATTGATGCCGCAAAATCAAAAATGGCATCATTAACCAATAACAACCAACAAAAAGATGAGCAGGAGGTGGAGGGAAAGGATGGGGAGGAAGGGAAATGTGAAGAAAAATTATTAGCATTTCCTATTTGTAGAGAAGGAGGAGACACATAGTGTCTCTCCTTTTTTCTATCAAAAGTGTCACCAACAAAACATTGTTTAGGATGAAAATGTTTAGGATGTGTGGTGGCATCAATAATGGTTATTATAACGAAGATGTTGATGAGAGAGAACTTGACAAAGGAGAAGATGGAAGCAAATACAGCCTCACAGGCATTCTTCTTCCCTCTCTTGGTGCCACAGCTGCCCGTAATGGTAGTCGTAGACTAAAGCTTGGTCGTTACATTATTTCCCCAGCTAATCATCAATATAGGTAAGATTTAATGGTTAACATTTTGCTTTTTCTTGTCATCTCCCTTGTCATGAATACACATCGTTTCATTCACTATGCATATTTTAGTCCATGTTTGGCAAGTTAGTTTTTGTATGAAATAATTGCTTTTTATTATTTCAAAAGCTTAGAAAGAAAAAAAAAAACCATTTCTTCAAACAGAATAAACACATTTTAGTAAGAAAAAAAAATATGAATTAGTTATTTGAGTTGGATTTAATTAAATAAGAAAATCAATTTTAAATAAAAATTTCACATGTTGAACTTCTTTGTTATAATTGATTAGTAAGTTATTTAGAATACACTCAAGGCGTAAAGGTTTTTACATTATGGTACAACCATGGATTACCATGCATGGTAAAAATGTTATGGTTGAATTCTAAATATATGAGATTAGAGAGTTAGTTTACATATGTATATATGATGACACTCTTTACAACAATATATAATAATTAATGTTGCAGACTATGGAGCAAGTTTCTAGTGATATTGGTTTTCTACACTGCTTGGATGTGTCCATTTCAATTTGGTTTCCTTGAGAGATCAAAAGGTGCATTGGCTGTAATAGACAATGTTGTAAATGGGTTTTTTGCCATTGACATTGTTCTCACCTTTTTTGTTGCTTACCTTGACAAGTCTACTTATTTGCTCATTGACAACCATAAGCTCATTGCTTTGAGATATGCCAAATCTTGGTTGGTTTTTGATGTCATTGCAACAACTCCTTATGAAGTTGTTCATACTATTTTGCCACCCTCTCTTCAAATATATAGTTACTTCAGTATTCTTCGCCTTTGGCGCCTCCATCGAGTTAGTGCCATGTTCGCAAGGTAATGTCATAACTCAAAATTTTCTTTATCATAGTTTAATTGTAGACATCTTATATACACTTTGAAGTAACTAGAAAATATTTCTCAATTGTGTTCTTTTTAAGGCAACAATTTAAACTCAGAGGTTAAAACTCAATTATTTCACATTTTTCCTACACTTACATTTACTCTTAAAGAAAAGTCTTTATTGTGCTCTTTTTCTATTTTTATATATTGGAATATATAGCAAAATGAGTGTTTAACACTCTTTTGAGTCATGTTTTTATAATGTAGTTGTAGTCACAATTGTAATCACATTACAATTAGCAAAATTGTGAATAAATATGATCAATGTCATCAAAAGCCCAATTGCAAATACCATAAAACTTTATATAACACATTTTTAAAATCATATTTAGGATTTACACCCATATATACACCCATTTAAATGGGTTAAACTACAAATTTAATTATGATAAGATGTGTGATATAAGAGAATAAAAAGGTGGACAAAGGTACAAAGTGAGTGTGCAAAAAAGGCATATGAAACAATTAGTAAGTCTTGGATTCTTAAAATTTTAACATTTTAGAATAGGTAAAACAATAATATAAAGGAAATAATGTGAAACAAAAATTTTATATTGGTTTGTGTTAGGGTAATTTTACTTACATTTTATCTTCATCTATCAGATTGGAAAAGGATAGGAATTACAGCTACTTTTGGGTGCGTTGTTGCAAGCTTACTTGTGTAAGTACTTACTTATATCATAGTGAATTTATTGGGAAAGTTGTGGCCATGATAATATAAAAGAACCTATCTTATTAGTTATGATGCCATGCAATTGTAGGTTACTTTATTTGCAGTGCATGCTGCTGCATGTTTTTTCTATTTTCTTGCTGCACGAGATAACCCAGAATCTACGTGGATTGGAGTTATTCCTGCTGC